TCAATATCTCAAATAAAACTCAATTTCAATTGAATTTGTTTCATAGTATGCCCATACATATATCAAAAAATCGTCGCACACAGTTTCCAAAATCCCCACTCATCCGCAATGGTCTACCGCGAAAGTGTGATCATTACAGAACAATAAACAAATTTTCGAACAAATTTCACACACGCCTGCAGAATGAACAATCGCGCCGATAAATGTAGGCTGCCAGAGGATAAACGAAAAAAAAAAAATAACTTCAAACAGCTGCACGAACAAAGCCACACCGTTTAACAAGACAGTAAACAAATTTCCCAAGCGCAGTCGCCACCTCGCGCACGCCTCATTTGTATGTATGTATGCATGTGCGTATGTTTCCACGTACAATGTAGGAGTTGGTGGTGGTGGTGGTGACGGTGTTGCATTGCGATCGCCGGCCACCTTCAGTACATGTTGCAGCAATCTGTGATAACATATCTACAGGTCAGCAACAATGTATGTATTTCTTTACTTTCCGATGGCAATGTAGTCAAAGCATGAAAAAAGTAAGCAAACAGTGCCTCAAGTTAATTTTTGCAGGCCCTTCGTGGCAATCTTGTCTGGGCTGGATAACTAAGGCCGTGCTGTTGCGGTTGCGCCTGCGCCTGCGCCTCCACGCTGATGCTGGCGCGCTATTGTTTCGTGCCCTGCATACAATAGCCTTGCATTGAAGATATGGTGGCGTGTTGTTGTTGTTGGTTTTTTCGTGGCGTGTTATTTGCTCCTGTTCAGTCAAGGCGAGGAATCCAATTTGCATGATCGCTTCGAAAATCTGTCTGTGCGCATAACAGCGTTATTTGTATATTAATTTCTTTGTTGAAAATTGATATGCATGCTGAACTCGAAATTGCATGCAGCTACTGTATGTTTTTGCTTTGTTAAGGAGCAATAGGGTTTAAATGGAAAAAAAATTTTAAAGTAGGTAGCTGCAAATTTGTAACCATTTTCGGCAGCTCAAAGGTGAATTTTGAAATTAGACATTTTGAAGAAATTACCATAACGAAACTATATAAAATAGTTGGTATCACTTTTCAACTAGCACGCATCAATCGCTTCACTCTAAGCGAGCTAAGCTTTCTCCCAATTAGCAAGTACATACATATTTTGGCAATGAACAATTTTCACATTTTCTGGAAAATTAGCTCGTTAGCACAATCGAGTGAAAACTGCACCAACGCGCGACGCCTTCCACTTTTCCACTTCACAGTAATTTCCTTGCCTCGCCATATTTGTACAACAAATTTTCGCTAATGACAAGCGCGATTGCATAGCGCCAAAATGAAGCGACTTCCATACAAGTATATTCACCAAAGTCACCAAAGCTAACTTTTTCGCAATTTGCTGCTTTTCAAGCCACTCTTCAAAATGAAGTAGCCAACCATCAGACACATTCCACGGTTTTTGGCAGTTATTGTACTTTGCGGCTGGGAAAACACGTGATTAACTTAAAGCACAAACATATGATCATATAGATGCATACATACATACATACATACATATATTTATATAAATATGTATTTACTCAGATATGTCATATATATGTACATTTAAATGAGTCTACCGGCAAATGTTTACTGATTTGTTTTTTTTTTTTTTATCAAAAAGAAGCCACCAATGAATTTGCATTTATGTATTCATCTCCCTGTATTTGAAGCGATGATAGCTGTAAATGGATATTGATGAAGATGCCACCACATCAGCCATCAGTCAATTGTCATGCATACTATATTTACACACACACACACTACACTCATACGTTGCTATTTGCCACTGTTTCCAGGGGTCTAGTGGCATTGAAGTTTCACGCTTTGCTGCTTTGATATAAGGGAAATAGTGCGTTAAACATAGTGAAAGTCTTGAACTTTTATGTCAGTATGCACATTAGGGTATTCCAGATTTTTATTTATTTTTTTGCGAAAGTCGACACGCATGCCCATTAATGTTTTTCGTTTTTAAGTAGGGGGCTGGGTCTAGTTGTTGTTTTGTTTTTCAAGGACATAGAAGAATAAAAATTTCATTCAGCACATTTTTTGTTTTTCTCTAAAAGGCGCCTATTACATCAATTAACCGTTTCAAATAAGTGTAAGGAAAAATCAATCTTACGGTCTCTCTTTTGTTTCAACAAATGCCGCTATAGTTGCTAGTATTTCATTTGTAGGCCTTTAAGCCGATCTTGCCCAAGTATACGAGGAAAACGAGATTTGCCACTTTGGTATATTGGTATTATCTTGTGCCACACAGACCGTTTTTTATCGATTTCTACTGCCGTGGACGTTGTCACTTCCATTGGGTCAGTGGATTCTGCCTGCTTCATTACCTTCGTCTGTGACGCCTGGACGTACATACATATGTATGTTGTTTTTTTGCTTGTGCTGGGCCGAACTTCTTCACCGATTTGTATTGTACGTTTGTACGTTTTGATGCTGACACAACAGTTTTATGGTCTGACTGAGAAGCTCTTTTCATAGCAGAAATATAGAGCATAGGTTTGCCAGTGCCTGTTGATGGGCGACCGCTATTAGAAAAACAAAAACATTTTTGGATGTTGCTCAGATCAGGAATTGAACCCGGGACTTACCGAGAGGTAGTGCGCACCTCTGACCGCTAAGCCACTGCGGTCGCCATTATTTATAATATATGTATGGTATATATACATATATGTATATATATATATTAGAGCGCCCATCGAAAATGCTTTGTGTTGTGTTGTGGAGTGTTGGGGGCATTTTGTCATTCTCCGTCTAGTTAAAAATATCATCACTATTAATATTTTTTATTCACTTCACATGTCATTCTAGCATAGAAATAACAATACTATAAAAAATAATAACGATTACAATTAAAACTAAAATACGCAGTATCAATCTTCACGGTTTCACATACACCCTATAAATCATTAAACAAATAAATAACGCCATTCTAAGGCCAGTTTTTCAGTGAATGGCTGTGGTTTAAACTAAGTTCAAACTCTCGAGCTGGCTGCTTTTGGTGTATATTTCACTAACCAGGTTATATTATATAAATCGATATACTGAAAAAGTGCGCAGACCTTTTTTACAGAATGCACATACAACCTCCAGGCTATTTGTAAATGAAAACACTTTTGCTTAATCCCACTTCACTAATATGTCATCATTTCTTTAAAAAATAAAATAAAAGACTTAGAACCATAGTAAAAGAAAAATAAGATCACTTTTTATTGCCTAAATACCTGAGTCAGAAGGTTGCCTTGCCGATTTTGATTTATTTTTAAAGAAAAATGGGAAATAGCTTGGAAATATGAAGTAAAAAATCACGTTTAACATCAGCCTGCTACCGTGTATGTCGAAATTATTCGAAAAACTTCTTATGCTGCGCATCTCCCCACATCTGCAAGCCCGCAATATAATACCACTTCACCAATTTGGCTTCAGGGAAAAACATGGAACAATCGAGCACAAGTGTCCTCTACAAGCAACTGTGCTCCTAGGCAATCATATGGAAGCTGTTGCCAATTGGCTCGCAAACTGGCGAATAAAGGTTAACGAGCAAAAATGTAAGCAAGTTACATTTACACTGAATAAGAGTAACTGTCCGCCCTTGACTTTAAACAACGTACAAATACCACAAAGCAATCATGTCACTTACCTAGGGGTCCACCTGGACAGGCGACTTACTTGGCGAAACCACATAGTGGCTAAAAGGACTCATCTCAAGCTGAAGGCTAATTCTCTCCACTGGCTTATTAACTCTCGCTCACCCCTGAGTCTGGAGTATAAAGTGCTTATTTACAATACAGTTTTAAAACCGATATGGACCTATGGATGTGAGTTATGGGGAAACGCGAGCAGCAGCAACATCGAAATCCTTCGTCGTGCGCAATCTAAAATCCTTCGGACAATCACCGGAGCACCGTGGTATATGCGAAATGAGAACATTCACCGCGACTTGAGAATACCAGAAGTACGAACCGAAATAGAACAACGGAAGACGAAATATGTATCGAAGCTTTTAGCGCAACCAAATCATTTAGCAAGATCTTTATTGCGTCTCAACACTACGTAGGAATGACTTACCAGCCCAGTCGTAATCTTTTCTTAGGGCCAGTTAAGAAAATACTCATCCCAACTAGGGGATGTAAATTAAATGAATAGATTAAGATTCGAAAACTTATTGTTAGGCTCTTAGGCAGGCCAGATTCAATAAATAAAAAAAAATTAAAAAAAAAACACTTTGCGCACATAAAAAGGAAAAAGCGACGACTTTAAGAGTATATGTCAAGAAAACGGTAAAATTGTGCAAATGCAAATATTTGATTACATGGTGATGTAGAATTTTATCTACTTTCATTTGGTACTAAAAACTTCTTTGTACTTTGAAATAAATTTTTTTTTTTAAATAATCTCCAATATCGATATCAATTACCCCACTGTGCGGCAGGGCAAAGTATCAAACAAAAGCATTTATGTATTTGCGTTCAGTTTTCATTTGTTTCGAATTTTATTATGATTTTTTTTTTTAATATATTCCGTATTTCATTTGACATAAACATATAGTTTACTTATATTATATTATATTATATATTATTTTCCTCTACCGTTTAATTATATAGATGACCCAACAGAATGCACACGAATTTCTTATTTCTGTTATTAGAATTAGATTTGAATGCACTAAAACTATAGATATACATAATTTCATGACTTTGTATATTAAGTATTAAATTGTAGATAGTGAAAATAGGTAAACCAAGGCTAAGGCTTTTATTTGGGAAATATATTTCTCTGTTTCTGATAGAATGAATTGAAAATTATAATTTTTAACTAATATTTATTAGTTCTGACTCAAATGGGGGTGTGAAATTTGTTTAAAAACTATCTAACATTGAATACATACATAATCGAAAGCAATATCCTTATATTTGTATATTTTCCTTCAATATACATTTTTCTCCTACAAATATTACGATAGTTAATTGAAGTCTATTATTTTTTCAGATTTTCTGCTTCAACCGTTTCGCAAGCCAAAACGTGTGCGTACCGCGTTCTCACCCACGCAACTGCTAAAGCTGGAACATGCCTTCGAAAACAATCACTATGTAGTGGGCGCCGAGCGGAAGCAGCTGGCACAAGCACTGAGTCTCACAGAAACGCAGGTTAATAGTTTTATACATATTTAATGGAACGAAATGAAGACTGCTTTGTATGGCTAGAAGATTTGATTTTATCTACGATTTTTAAAAGGTTTTTTAAATCAAACACGGAGATTTGTAGATCAACTGTTTTGGAATTCTGGCACAAAGTTTTTCACAAGATTAATATTATAAATTTTCATTATTTAACAGGAGATTTCCTCAACCTATTCATATTTATTAGGGTCGGGTTAAAATGCCAGTATAGAGACGGGAGTGTTTTTTTTATCTCCTTTTCTGGGGTTCGTCCGAAAACGTGTTTATGAGGATAAAAGTAAGATTCCAGACACCTTTATTTATGCGAACCTGGAAACTATTTAAGCTTAAATTCAATTCAGTTGGTAGTAGTTTGCAACATATATAGGCTAAAAAAGACCTCTTTTAATAAATATTTGTTTTTATTATATTTTTTTTTTTTATATATTAAATGCATTTCATGGAAGTTATGTGATAATTTGTATGAAAAATTACATCATATAAATGTCCATCACTTTGCGCGATTGTAACATTGGCTTTCCATTAGAGCACGTAATGTATCTGGTTTCAGGACTCGAATGTTCTGCTTAAGTGGTCTTATAGCCTCTGGTTTATTAACATACAATTGGTCTTTTAAATATGCCAAATCTAGTGAACGGAGTAGCCAAGGCTACACTCTGCCGCACGGCATCCACGTTGTATTTAGTGCGAATATTTTGATGAGCATCTCTTCCAGGATGATCGCCAACTGAACCTCGTTCCCTAAAATGGTCGACCAAATTCTTAATCACGAGGGTTTTGGGTGCTGATCTTAAATTAAAATGTTGGCGATAATTTCACTGCCGCATAACAATAGATCGTTGGAAATAATAGAAAAAAATCTATAATAATAATACGTTATTGTATACTGTACATAAGTACCCATTACGAATTTTGCACGAGTTTAGTTATAACCATATAATAAAAAATTAGATGGTGTTTAACATTGGTAGATCTCATTTGGCACACGCTGTAGTTAGATAAAAATTAATTGTAATTGTAAAAATTGGAAAGCCGATTTGTTTCTTAAATAGATCACCTCCAGGCCGTGAGTGATGGAAACGGTTAGCGTAATTATTTTTTCGGTAGAGATCTCAATATTATAGTTAATTGAAAGTGGAAAAAATTGTGTATCATATGGAAGTTTATTAACCCTATTAGGCCTGTCAGATTTTTTCAACAATAGGCCTCCTTCAACAAAATCAAGCACGTGACTCCACTTATCAGACTCAAAGGTCACGCCACCCTCACAACCAATTTTAACCCAGAGACAGCTCCACCTCCAACTCAATGGGATATTTATCGCAAAATAATTATTGGGTTAAATAAAAGGCATCAAATTCAATAAATTGTTTCATATATTAATCACGTCTACACCCCCAAAACAAAGCTTGTACAATCGTACGTGTAGACCTCGTCACCCCCTTTTTTTTGAATAAAGCAACCCCTTCAACATCACAATCTACTATGAATTTTTGAGCTTTTGCTTTACTTATATACGTGCAGATGTGTGTATTATCTACATATACTACTTAATTTTATTTGAATTTTAGCCAAAGTCCAATGCATGGTAACTGAAATGTTGCCGACCGTTAAGTGATTGCATGTCAACTGATCGTTAACAGCCTAACTACTTGAGTTATTAGCTGTAAAACAACCCCCTGTGCTATGCCATGAAATTTTATGTAGCTATTGTTGCAATTGTGGCGGATAAAGCGTAAATACCAGGTACTCAAGTTGTACGTCAGTCAACTCAAGCTGTTTGTTGGCAAAGGAGCTGAGCATTCGCCACTTAGGCAAAACAAAAAAAAAAAAACAAAAAAAAACTGTATGCAGCGAGGGTTGGAAAATTATAGGAAGGGGTGGGAAAATTGTGCACTACCCAATTGACTTTCTGACACCCTTTTGTGTTTACGTATGCCGGGTGGGTAAATAACGGTCGTAGAAATAAAGTGGTTAATAGTCGCAGCAATGTATGTAGCTGTGGCAGTAATCGGCACGTAGAGAGGAATTTGTTGAAAATCAGGGAGTAGAATTAAAATGTTAGCTAAATTTATTTATTAGGTCATGCAAAAAGGTAAGCTATGTGGAAAATTTTGGCGTGGGTGTACTGAAGTATACAAGGTTTTTTTTTTGTAGAATAAGAGGTTAGCAATTTCTAAGTTGGTTCTATAAAGAGTTAAAGACTTTAGTAGCTGGCGTACAAAATCAAAAAAAAAAAATTTAAGCATGTATAACAAAATGTTAGAATTAAAAAAAAAACTATGAAATAAAATTGTATACTCATTCAGAAATAAACTCAAAGTAAAGTACTTAAAAACTTATCATAACCATTATATGATTAAAGATTAAAGATTTTTAAGGCAGGGGGTTTTAAATTGACTAATTAATATATTATTCCCATTAACTAACTTATTGTCGTTGCTCCTGCATACAGGTTCGTCTTTTCTTCCAGCGCAACGATTTCGTAAAGTTGCTCGCATAGGACCACTTTTCCTTGGTTTTGAGTATTTTCTCTGTGGTGTTGCCTGTCGAATTGTTTCGAAGTACGAATCATTCTTACTTCCATCGTGCACATTTGCGTCGCCTGAGCTAGAATATATGCAGGTAGAATCCTCTGTTCTGTCCATTTTGTGAAGTTTTCCAGCCATTTCTTCGCCATTGTTGTATTAACGCCAAAACACTAAGTCTGCGGTCTCATGCCCTGATACCCCTCTACTTTTTTATTGTCACTACCTCGGTACATATGTGAAAATTTACTTCTCCTGGTACATGCTATTTCAGTGTTTCGCACAGTGATGTTGGTGGTCATGTCGTCCCGATATCCAAGGAGGCATATATGTATGTTTCATCTCGCTTTTCGATTATCAATATACAATCGTTCCTAACATGCCTTGAGTCCAGGATGTCAAACGTTGCAAGTTGGAAACACTTTTATTTGTATAGAGGTAAGTTTCAGCTTCTCTGGTGCCTTTTTAAATGCGATTTTGACGTGTACGGTTTCCAAATAGTAGTATTGTTCGCTTTAATAGGTGGCTTGCTCATTGCGCTGCAGCCACACAGTTTTTATTGTCTCCGATTGGTCTTATTGCTGAATTTCCAGGCCAAAATTCCTCCGGAATTTTTAATAACTGACGTAATACGCAGTTTCACCATATGGGTCGATATGCTGGGGGTGATGATAGATTCTCTTCGCTTTTATACTTTGGGACGATGTATTGTTTTTTGCACAAGTCAGAGAGTATTTCTTCGGTCACATATGCAATATACTTGCATATCGAGTTGTAAAATCAACGCTATGAGGCTGGACCAGGAGATCTGGTATTTGTGAGCTTTCAAGTTCGAGTTCTTTTTTTGGTGAAGAGTGCTGATTCTTCAGCTATGTGGTCCATTTCCTGCACAAAGATATCAAGATCTGGTTTCATACCTCCAAATTTCTTCAAAACAGCTTCGTAGCCAAGGACCCAGGGGTCATCATTATTATGCAGCTCTTTCCGTTTCCTCTATTGGCTAGCCGCTATGTGTTGTTCTCTTTTTGCAAGAGCGGTTCTTATTTGTCGAGCCATGGTGACGATTCGTCTTGGCGGATTTTCATTATTTTTGTAGTTGAAAGATAACTACTCTATCAAATTTTCATTTGTTTGTATTAAATATAAAGCAATAAATAAAACAAAAATTAATCAAGAAACGAAAAAAAAACAAAATTAAAATAAAGCAGAAATAAAAAAAATCTTTTTTTTTCTAAAAAATTAATTAAAAAGAGAAAAAAATTAAATCAGAAAAGAAGAAAAAATCTAAAAAATTAAAAGAAATTTAAATTAAAGACAGGCAAAAAAATAAAGTACCATCTAAAAAATTGAATGAAGTAAATATATATATTTTTCTTTTTGCAACAGTAAAATTTAAAAATTAAAAGAAAATGAAATTAACAAAAGAAAAACAAAGTAAATTAAAAAAAATAAAGAAATATAATAAAATAAGGTTTTAACAATTCAATTAAATTTTTAAAAATATTTTGCTTTTTTAGGCAATAAAATCTAGAACTCAAAAAAAAATAAACTAAAAAAAGAAAAAATTTAATAAGTTCCTAAAAATTAAATTAAAAAATATTTTTATTTTTAAAGCAATAACATCTAACCACAAAAAAAAATTAAATTGAGTAAAAAATATATAATAAAACAAGAAAAGAATACATTAAATAAGTTTCTAAAAATTAAATAAGCTTAAAAAACATATATGCTTCTTTTTAAAACATGAATGTCTAAAAATTAAAAGAAATGTTAATTAAAAAAGAAAAAGAAAATTAAATTAACAAAAATCCTCTGCCCAAGCACTCGAACACGAGTGTGCTTTGCTCACTCTGCCATTGCGACTTTGCGACTGTTAGAACGACGCGAGCTAAATGATATACAAGGGCTTTCGCTCAAAATACATACTTAGTAGATGAGAGATAATTTTTTTCTAAGACTTTTCTGTTAGGTTATTCCGGATCTGCCGATATTATCACCAAATCATAAGCCGCTGTTGCTCTGCCTATATTATACGTTGATTACAACTCCGCACACCAGTTAAGTGAGTGGAGCGTTTTAGTGAACTCATTTATTCGAGACGATTATAATTAAAAAATTATGAAATGGAATTCATAAAAATGCTCTCGAAATTTAGATTGGAAACTTTTAACGAAATAATTAACGTTATTTTAATACATATAGGGGATTCACAAGACGTGTTAACCGTCGTAAAATCTTAAGGTTAACATCTTTTTTAATTGAAATGGTTTTAGGGGACTTCTAACTAAACCGAAATTCTTTTAAACTGATAAAGAATATATAATTAGCCAACCCCCCAACCATTTTAACCGCTATTTTACATAAACAAGTGTTAAGCTTAAGATTTTACGACGGTTAACACGTCTTGTGAATCCCCTAATAGTTAATTTCAATGTTAGGCATCGAAATATTTATTGGTACGCCAAATTGTATGCTAACTAGTTAAGATGTGAAATATGTTAGCTTTGTTAAAGCGAAGAAGCGGGCTTTCACGAGCGCCGTTTTATTCGGAATATAACTATCGCTTTTTTAACATATAGGCTGGAAACCTTCGCCAACTTTTCATTGATATTATCCCTGTATTCTTTACCATGCCATTTAATTCCAGGAAATTGAAGACAAACTATAAATTTTAATTATGCTTTTCCTAACACACATTTTTTTTTCTATGTTTCAGGTCAAAGTTTGGTTTCAAAATCGCCGCACCAAGCACAAGCGCATGCAACAGGAGGGCGACAGTGACTCGAAAAGTCAGAAGGGCAGTCAGGCGGGCGACATGGAGGCGAGTAAAAACGATAGTTCACAAAATAGTTTCGATGATCAGGAGGAAGACGACGAGGATGAGCTCATCGAAGAGGACGAGGACGAAGTGATCGATATGGATGATTATGGCAGCGAAATGGATGCTGAAGAGCATCAACGATTGCGTGAACAATTTCAACAACAATTGCAGCAACATCACGAACAACTGCAACAGCATATGCAACAACAACAGCAGCAACAGCAGCAAGCACAAGCGCATGTGCAACAGATGCAGCGTGAACAGCGAGAGCTTAGGGAGCAGCAGCAACAACAACAGCAGCAGCAGCAACAACAACAACAACAGCAACAACATTTCATGCAACATCAGCTGTATTTGCATCAGCAAGCACAACAGCAAAAACAACTGCATTTGCAACAACAACAGCAGCAGCCATAATTGCCGCCGCCGCCCAAGCGTGGAGCGTTCGCGCATAATGATGGCCAACTGTTGCATTTATCTGCGGCTAATTGCCGCCACTGGGCGTGGTTGTGAACGTTGTTGTTGGCGAAATACCAAACTACTTCACGCTCTCTCGCTACTCTTCGGCCGCGTGTTTGAGTTCCTTTGGCGTTGGCTGACAAATTTAATTCGCTCTCCGTTTACACTTCTTGCTCCCCTCGCAGTTAGTTTTTTTTTTTTTTTGTTCTTTTCTTTTGTAAATTATTCCACAAAACTGAATTGTATTAATTAATTTGTAAATTAGACGCTTAGACAGGTAATAATACATTTACGATTAACAATTACTGTGTAATAATTAAAACGCAAAGCAAATGTTATAAATCATAATTACGATAAATAATAAATACATACAATTAAATTATATAAATGTTATGGCGAAGCAGAAAAATTTCATTGTAAATAGCTGGCTAAAAGAAATTTTGTAGGTGCATAGCATGCAGCAGGCGGCAGCAAATGTCTTCATCTTTTCCGCTGGGCTGCGCGCATGGATTTTAACATTTACAGACACACAGGTATATTAGCCTAAACAATCAGCAACGATATTCACAAAAACTGGGCCATAAATTTACTGCTTGGCTGCTATTAAGTAATTCACACGCGCGTTGCAAGCAGGCGATAAAATCCACATACATACATACATAGTGCAACATTCATGTGTGCCGTCACCTTCCTTCCGCCATTGCAGTCGCTGGTTTCGCGCGCATGCAACTTCAACACCCTTTCGTGATTTTTTTTAAGCAGCTCGCATGCCATTATTGTGCCGATTTTCTTCTAAGCGATGTTTGTGCCTCCGTGTCTGTGGCATAAAAATGCAATAAATTTAGCGAATTACCCGCCATCAACATCACAGCACCACACCCACTATGCGCCATAATTATACCTTGAACTTTCATGCCACAATTGCTCTATTTGTATGCCACCATGGATATTTATATTTGGCATTATTATTTTATTTTATTTGTGTTTTTTTTTTAACTAGCATATCAGTTGGCAGCGAGTATTGATTTAAATTTTTATAAAGACCCAAAAACATATGATAGTTTAACATATCACTTTGGGTAACGTCGTACATATATACACTACGGTGGTCCAAAAACAGTAAACTCGGAATTGTAATGCTCTCACCCCCTAGCATTGTTCTATATCGAAAAAAGTATACCCCTATTTTTTTATTTTGAAGTCAAAAAATATTTAAAGGTCACTCAATGCGTTCAAAGTTTTCCATGTATTTTGTATGGAAAAAACAACTTGGGTATCAATGGTATAGAATTTTTAAAAATCAATATTTTTTTCGATCGGAAAACTCTGGTTGTCTTCAGGAGACTTTCAATAACAATACCCAATTGTTTGTTTAACCACTAAAAGTATTTTACTACTGATTCGCAGTTTTTTTTCGAAATTTTTTCTTTCTTTCGCGAGTGCTTAAACTTTCCGACTATTTAACTCATTTCCTGTAAAACCGGATTCATAATCCTTATGAAGACAAATTACTCTAAAAATTTAATTTAAATTTTTGTAAGTGCATAATTTTGCTTGTTGCGGACTAATTGCTCAACAAAAAAATTTTATTAAGCTCTCTGGTCCCCAGTTTAACCAATTAATTTTAAAATTTATCAGACTGTTAAAATTTAAAATCACAGATTGATTGATGAACAAGATTGTGTCAGTTTAATTTTTAACAGGCTGATAAATTTAAAATTGATTGATGCAACCGGGCATGAATGAAGAGAATTTTTAGAATTCTAAATATTTATGGCTATAGAAAATTTGCACTAATCTTTACATGGAAAAGAAAACAGTATCTTCTTAAAAGTGTTTACCAATCGAGATTCACCACTTACCTTCAAGTTTACAGAATCCGTTACTTTAACTTGGGCATGTCATTGGAAGTGAGGGACAAAGTGTAAATAGTTCTACCCACTGCATTACTGGTAATACAACTGGAAAGCGAAAAAGTGTAAAATTTCGACTTGAGGCATTTTGTCATGCGTTATTCCATCGATACAAAAATCGCAGTGCTTATCATTTTTGAGAATTCCCCGATTTCGACAATGATTTGCCCGAAATTTCGTAAAATTCCCCACCTATAAGATATCTCCTTATTTACAAAAAAATACACGAAAATTGAATGTATTTTGATATATTGCTGGCCTTTCTGTTTTATTTATTTTTAAATGTAATTCATCTATTTATTCATAAACCAAAACATCAAGAATGTTTATATATATGTATAATATTTACATACATACGTGGTCGAAGAAATTTTAGTGCCACCAATAATTTTTTTTATTTATTTTTTGTTATATAATTTGAGTTATTTATTTTTATATTAATATAGTTCATTCCTTAACAAATACTGTATAAATCCAAGTTTCTGACTTTGCGCAATATTTGAAAGAAATTCAACAAATTTTCGTAAAAATTTAGAGTCTTCGTATACGATTATCTAGATTTTGAGAATACTGTTTTGTAGCCCACCCAATTCTATCACAACAAAGTGCAAGTTTCAAGTGTCTAAAAATTTTCGGTTTAGGTTTTTTTGCCGAAGTTTTTGCGCTTTTCTTTCATATAAAAATAAATTAGGGGTATTCTCCAAATCTTGCAAAGCCATTGCACGTAGCACGGATTGCATGGATTACATGACTTGCAAACACACAACAACAAAATACATGGGAAACAATAGGGGTATTCTCCAAATCTTGCAAAGCCATTGCACGTAGCACGGATTGCACGGATTGCATAAATTGCAAACACACAACAAGAAAATTCATGGGAAACAACATTTCCTATCGCTGCAAAATATGCAACGTCGAAACCCATGTATATATTTTACAAAATAGCATAGCAAGATAATAGCGACCCTGTGCTAGTTGTTTTGTTGTTGGAATTGCTACATATTTCTCTCATTCCTCTCATCTCGCTCACTTAATTTTTTTTTGCTGTCTCTTGTTATTGTATTTGATACATAATTTCGCTGCTTGCTCCCCATGCATGCTACCACTTTGCAATGGGGTGTTCTCGTACTCTTCGAAATTTGGAATAGTATTTTTGCATTTCGTGCAATCCGTGCATCGTGCAAGACTTCGAGAATACCCCTAATATTTTCTAAGTGCATGAGGAGAAAATATTCACACTGAATTAAATAAACGTACAAGGCAGCAGTTTAGGAATAAGATTTGTGTAGCTCAAGATTAATGCAAGGAAGAAGGTATAGTTTAGTATGTAGAAAAAGAAAGGGTGAAGGTAGAGGAACAGATAAAGACAAATGAAAATGAAGAGATAAATATAAAGTTAGACCTAAACGAAAACGATTAAGACAAAGATAGAGATAAAGTTAGACAAAAAAAAAAAAAAAAAAACTGATGAATGAGGTATGTTATGTTCTGTAATGTTATGTTATGTTATCGTATGTTATGTTGCGTAATATAATTTGTTATTTTATGTTATTTTAAATTACCTTATGTTATTTTGTGTTATGTCATGTTTTTTTTTATATTATGTTATGTTATTCTATGTCATGTTGTTTAACGCATTTGTCTTTAACTCGCCACAGCACACTTCAAATCAACTCAACTCGCCCCAACTCACCTCATTTCATCTCAACTCAATTCGCGTCAACTCAATTCACCTCAACTCAACTCATCCCAGATATTGTTATTTTACCTCAACTTAGCTTACCCCACCTCATATCATTTCACCTCAGCTCAACTTACCTTAACTCACCTCAACTTATATAAACTTACCTCACCTGAACTCGCTTCACTTCAATTTACTTGACCTTAACTCCACTCATCTTAACCCATTTCAACTCCCCTTAATTTTAGTGGTTGAATTTCAACCGCTGCACAGTGGGGCCGAAATCTAAAAATACGGAGAAAATTCGAAGCCTCAAAGAAATGAAATGAGGCGAAATTTTTGTCAGAGTAGCAAACTTGAAGTATCTAGGACTTACCGTTAATGATTGATTTTTGTTGACAGTGTCAGTCATTATTTTTCGTACGAAATATGTTCGATGATATAAAGGAAATGAGCAACTCCTTCAACAAACAAATTTCCAAAAATCTGCCATAAGTCCAGCTACTTTAATCTTGCACTTTATTACACTTAAATTAAATGGGCTACAAAATAGCTTTAAATAATATGTATAAGCATGTAAAAAAAAGTAGGTACATTAAAATTGCAGAGGCATTTTATTCAGGAGGAATTTTATTCAGACCAAATACTTTTCTAAGTAACCATCTGACAGCGTATTATATCTGTTTCATTTCACAACTTTTATACTTCTAAAAAATTTGTGTTACAGTGTTGATATTCACAAAATTTTTTTATGTATTTTACTAACTTTCAGACTAAGCTTCGATTTGGTTTTAAAGGATTCGCTTTTACTCAAGGTAGTTTTACACGTTTATAACTTTTCCCTTTCAATCTACCATAATATTGGGCTTGGACGAAGACCTCATTCCGATACTGTGAACGGTTTTCGCTTCTTAGAAGATCCCTTTAGCCAACTTCAAGATGAAAAAGCCCTATCTAGAGATCTTTTTTTTGTGCGCTGGGCGAACACTAGTTAGAAAAAAATGTCTACATGAGCCTTATAAAAATCATTTAGAATATATCTTTTTAATTAAGAGCCTTATAAAACCTTTAAAAGAGCAGAGTCTACGAGTAGAGCCTTATAAAACCAATTGTTCTTCACACTTTGACTTTTGTGTTATCCAGGAAATGTATCTTTATGCAGCCCCTTGTAGTTGAAACTACATTAACGTGTAGTAAAGGAGCGCAAATTTGGTGTTGGATTTGCGGTGGGAGAGAGCTTTCATAGAGCAGCGAAAAAAAATGCCGCCTACAGGACCACGCGGCGAGCTATGTGGGGTCGTTTTAAGGAAGAGGAAAGCGTGATGTATTTGCCGCAGTAAGAAGAGAGAGGCCGCAATACGTGAATGCGAAGAGCTTTAAATGCTCGCCGACAGTAAAAGCGGCCGAAAATTGTATCAGAGAGTTAGGCGGCTTACAGAAGGTTTCAAGACCAGGAAGAACTCTTGTAAGAACAACAATGGTGACCTAGTGACCGATATTCAGAACGTACTTAAATTATGGAGGGAACACTTTTTCATCCTATAGCATGGCAGCAGCACTGAAAGTTGTGTGTCGATAATGACGAAGTCTATGTTGCACCACCTGACCATGACGAGGTACGAATAGCGATAAAAGCGGCTGGAAAACAATAACGCTGCTGGAGCTGACGGCCTGCCAGCCGGGCTATTCAAGTACGGCGGCGAGGAGCTGATAAAGTGCATGCATCAAATCTTATGCCGCATATGGTCCGAT